CACAGCAACACACTTATGATTACAGAGTTTAAACAGATAGTGCTGTTTAAGTCCTTAATTGAGAACTCCATTTTGATCACTATTAAGAGTTAACAGGGCTGAGGTGGTTTGTTTTTTTTCTTTTCAGCTGAGCAGAATACTTCAACTCTGAACAACTCTTCAAACACAACTTCTTGTTTCAATTATAGTTTTGTAACTCCTATGGGAACTGAAAGGCCTACACTAAACCTACACTCATCTCCATACAGCAGTGTTTCTTCAGAGGGTCAGCAGGATTCCATCTTACGTAATACCATTTAACAGTGGTTCTGGAGACCCGTGTAGGATAAATTCAAGAGGTTTCGTAGTGGTTTCTAACAGAATCATATACCCCTCCAAATGCATTTTGGCAAAGACTCCACATGTCACAGCTCAAATCTCAATATAAATACCACAGGCTTAAAGTACCCACACTTACAGATAATGAAAGTTATAGTGATATGCTAACAGCAAACTGTTTTAATCCTGGCACCTTCAGCTTTTCTCTGGATTGTACTGCGCCCAGAACCAAATTCTCACTCATTTACTTAAACAGAATTATCACTTTTATGTAGGACTACGTAAGCACCAGAGGGGGAAAAAAAAAATAAAAATCAGAGAGCAGATCAGAAAAGCTAATGCTCGGCTGCATAGCTTATGGGCAAGGCATTCACACCTGCCTTTACAAAGGTCTGTATTCCTTTAGATTCATGCCTTAACTGAAAGTAGCACCAACCATCAAAATAACTCCACCAAATAGCATAAAAAGTAAAGAAGCCTTGCCATTAAAAAAGAGAGTGGATTTGTCTGCAAATGCAACATCTAAGAAGTAATATTATGCAACAAGGGCGAACCACTGGCACGCAGATCAGGCTGGCACTGCAGAGCTCTCACACAGGTTTGGCACCGAATAACAGGCAGTGGCATGCAGCAGAACTGACTGACATGAGGAACCCCAGGGTCTGTCGTGCAGCCTTGGAACAATAACACAAACACAACCTGAGAACCTCTCTCAGATTAAATGAAACTGGAAACATATCCTGGAAATGAGTCACCAGTCTCTTTAATTAAAGTAGCATTTTATTATGAGGTATTTCAACAATTTCTTGCACACGGGCTGAGAAAAACCCCAGAAAACACTGCTTTCAGGAATGAACTTTGGTCAGGAGGAAGAATGCTGTGGCGCAGTTAGATTGTGCCATGTGTGCTCTGAGCACACTGCACATTTCTGTGTCCTCACAGCATACGTGCCTCGTCCAAAGTGCTTCGGTCTCACCAGTGTTTTCAAAACTCACGGACAGCTCAAAGACACCGCGCTAGGGACCCACAGGGCGCTGCAACCGATATGAGTTACTAACTGTAAACGCGGAAAAACTCCTCCGGGGGATTTCAGCAACACCCCGTCGGCCTCGGCAACGCAAACCGCCCTGACTGCAAGGAGGGAAAAGCGGCACCGCGTCCCGAGCCGACACGCCGCCCCCGTGTTGGCGCTCCCACCGCAGGTGCGACGAGGAGCACAAAGCGAGGCGACGGACCGCGGGCAGCGCCGAGCAGACCCGCTCCCCCCCGCCGGGGCCGCTTCCCCTCAGGGCGCGTTGGCGCCAAGCCGGGCCCGGCGGGGCCCCGCGCTGACAGAACCGCGCCCCGGCCCCGCGCGAGGCCCCACGCGGCGCGGCGGGCCGGGCCGGGCCCCGTCCGGCTGCCCCGCGGGATCGGCCCCGCCGCCGGCGCCCCGCTTTCCCTCCCGCCCTCCCGCCGCGCGGCGGC